GTCAGTCATGTCACAGTTGAGAAAACCTGCTGTTGAGAGATTCCTCAGGGACACATCTTACTAAGTAGGTAGCAAGCCTGCTGGCTGCATTAATGACTCCAGGCTGGCCGAGCAGTAGACACTAGGGACACTAAGGCTTTGCCCTCACTCGGGTTTTTCATCAAGGTACCACCAAACTCTTTATTCTGTTCGTTTTTAACAACTTCCATACCTGCAATTAAGGCAGTCTGGAACATTCCGGTCTCTGTTACTGACATTCTGTTCTTTGTTCCTGCTGTTGTCGCATTGGGCAGAACAGTTGTGTTGAAAGCTGTGGGAAAGCTGAAAAGGCATAGGGCACAGAAGTCATACCACTCTGGCAAACTGCAAATGAACATGCTCATTAGCCTTGGACTCCAATTGGTAGGGGTGGGGTGCTGGTGGCGGTGGAGGCCAGGCCAGCCCAGGAAGAGAAGCATCCTGCCTAGGGATGCCCATCTTCCAAGATGGCGCCTTACACAACACCTTGGCACGTGGCAGAGCTCCAGCAGCCATGATCTAAGAGGAAGTGCTCAAGCAGGCCTTGCTTACATAGTCTGTGGGCATCTCCCTGGTCCACAGTGAATGAATGGCAGATCCAGAAAGTATCCTAGCAATCATTTCATCCAGTGTCCTCATTGCATAAAGAAGGAAACCTGGAAAAGTGATGTTTCTGCTAATTTGTGGTCTTCTGTCTAGATTCAAAGTGTCTGCGGGTCTGCTGCTCTCACATCTGGTTCTCCCATCAGCTCTTTGAGGTACTTTTTATCCCCACACCATAGAAAAGGAAATGGAGGCCCATCCATGTGAAGTGACCTGGCCCACGCACTCACTCGTTCGTGGTGGAACGACGACAGAACCCAGTGCTCCTGAGTGCTCCTGAGCTTTTCTCTACCCAACCCTCTCGCTTGCCTTCATGAAATCAGATTGGCCAGAAATCAAGAAGAAAGTCTTACAAACAAATGGAATGACACACTGTTGATTTAGAGCGCACACATAAATCCATCCAAAGAAATGTGACTAATGTAAATTTAAGCAGATAGGAGGACTCCTTTCAACAGTGATAGGGCACGTTACAGCAAGTGTTTCCAAAGATACCTACTTTTCAGTCATGGTTTACTGTCATCTCCAATAGAGGACCCAGGTATTAATCAAGGATGTTCAAACTCATGGTAGCCCTCGAAAGCTTTATCCTGCTTAGTCATCATTTTCCTTCAGTGGGGGAAATTTGTTCTAGCATTTAGCTTTCAGCTCTCTTCTTTGCCGAAGACTCAGACTCCCACGCCCTCAGTTCATCTTCCCTGCTCCATCCCCTTCTTTCAGCAAGCCTTAACTGAATGTTGTCATCAACATGTTCTAGAAATGGAGTCTACATTGAAGAGAGATAAGAAATTTATGCAACCAAGCCATATACTCAACATTTAAACACCTGGATACAGAAAGAAATCAAGGACATATTCAAGCCTTGGGTTAGGATTGAGTTTGTACCCTATATTTTTGCAAATTGCCTGCGCTTATATCTGTGGCTGCTGCTAATCAGAGCCTCTAGAGGTCCAGGTGGAAATGGAGTTGGCATCCACCTAGAGAATTTAAGAATTTTGATTCCTATGCTTGTAGGTCTTAGGATATAGGGTAAAAAGATGAATCCTGGAATCACATAGTCTATAGAGTTGAAATTCTAAGTCAGCCTCTCATTGCACATAGGAGTCTTGGACAGGTTATCTAATTTCTGCAAGATTTGCCCTCCTCGTGTCTAAAACAAGAACAGCACCAACTCTGAACACCTGCTGTGAAGAAGGAGCTAGTGGACACAGAGCTTCCAGGTTTGGTTAAAGGAGGTAGTGTGGTCGGAATCTGCTCTGCTTCATGGACCTTCAGTAGCAATTCTATGGCCCTGTGTTGCTTGAGGGACTGAATGAATGAGTGAGTGAAATATACTGCTGTAAACTGAATGTTTGTGTCCCCCCAAAATTCATATATCGAAACCTAATCTGCAGTGTGAGGGAATTTGGAGGTGGGGCCTTTGCGAGGTGATTAGGCAGAGGGCAGAGTCTTCATGAATGGGATTAGGGCCCTCATAAAAGAGACCCCAGAGAGCTCCCTCACCCCTTCTGCCATGTGAAGACCCAAGAAAAAGATGGCCATCTCTGGACCAGGCAGCAGGCCCTCAGCAGACATCAGTTCAGCTGGCACCTTGATTTTGGACTTCCCAGCCTCCAGAGCTGTGAGAAAGAAATGTATGTTGCCTGCGCTTCTCAGTCTGTGGTATTTCGTTATAGCAGCCCGAACGAACGAAGACATATGCCAAAAGCTTGACTTCTCTGCCACAGTCGCTTCATCGGTCACTGAGATTTATTTGTCAGAAGCGCTCATCAGCAGTTAATGCTGTGCTCTCACCGTAGCACTCAGTAGTCATTTCTAGGTGGAGTGTCGTGGTGGGCTAAGAGTGGTGGCCCACTGCTTGAGTTGGATCTCGGCCCCAGCCCTGTGAGCAGAGTGCTGGGGTCTGTCAGTTACCTTCACGGGATCTCGGGACCTGATCTGTAAAGGGGAAAGGAGCAATGAGGGATTGAGTGCAGAGGGTTTCCAGGAGGCCTACATGAATTCGTGCAAGTTCTTGGAGCACTGCCTGGCCAAGAGTAGGCACTGTGTAAGGGCTGGCTGTTTTCATTGTTACTGCAGTGGACGTGGTCCTGCGCTCGACTTTTTAAAGATACCAGGAGGATCAGAAGTGGCCCTCGCAATCCAGTGTTCTCTCCCATCAGCTGGTCAGGACACAAATGGAAGAGAAGGCAGGGGCCGGCTGAGTCAGGTCTGCAGCCATGAACAGTTATGAATTCTTAGGAGAGAGAGACTACTATGGCCAGAATATATAGGGAAGATTCCGGGAGATGGGGAGTGAGGCCAAGAATCCACTTGGGCCTTCTCCATCCATTGACCCGGGATTTTCCTAGCCTACACCTTGCCGGAAACTTGAGTGGTAACAGCGTGGAGATAAGACTGTGTAGTGTGGCAGAGACCCAGGGAACAAGGTCGTTGGTTAACACGGGGGTGGGTTGTTCTGTTTTGGTAGGAGTGGGTGGGGGAAAGGAGAGTGGAGAGAGAAAACAAGTTAGAAGGAAAAGGTAAGGCCGATTAGAAAGGACCTTTGCTTCCATGCTCCAGAGAGCAGGAGCGGAGGAGCCACGTGGGAGAGAGCCTCTGCGGGGCTCTCCTGTGCAGTCTAATTTGGGTAGCTACATGGCTATGTGCAACTGATTGTCAACTTAATAGCAGCTACCATATTACTCTACGAAGTAAACAACATATTTTATATATTCTTCATAATCGGGCAGTGAGGAATGAACAGGGGATGGATTGAGGAGGAGAGAGAAAAGGGAAGGAGAATGCAGACACAGAAATCTCCTTTCGTGGAGGAACATTCCCATCTGGTGAGCATTTCGTTTATTGCAAAGTCTGGTTATATTTTGATAAGAAGAGGTGGAAATGCCAATGCTGTTGCATCTGCTGGGAGCCGGGGCCCATTGGCTGTCCCCATTTGGCTGATGAAGGTGGTGTTCTGGGAACGGGAGTGTGGGAGGCAGTGTGCAGGCTGCAGAGGCGGGGCACAGGGAGCCCCCGGCGAGCCCCAGGCAGCCCACCAGTATGCAGGGCAAGGGAGCTGGGAAGGTGCTCATGGGAGACACACCCTAGGAGCGAGATTCCCAGCATCCCTGCAAGTGAAGGAGCTGACAGAGAGTAGAAGGGAAACTCTGCCAAGCTGGTCATGCCAAGAAAGGTCGGAAGAGTTCAGCCTTGTGGAATAACCAGATTCTACACCTGCAAACCGGCGTTGCCGTAGGCAGTGGGCAGAACATCCTAGCAAGGGGGTTACAGTGTTCACTCAGAAGTCCTGCTTCCTTCTCCTTTGCCTGATCAGTGGAAAATATAAACAGGGAGAGAGTTCAGAGGTATGCACTGGGAATGCCTTTGGCCCCACCCCACCTCTAGCCAGGGAGCCGAGCATGGGGGTCCGTATCACTCACACAGGTCCCCAGAGCCCCTGTTGGCCTCCACTCCCCAAGGATTCCAAGCTCCTGGGCACCCTCGGCCGCCCTGGACCAAGCAAGGTGATGATAAACCACCAAACTGGGTACTCCTTTGCATAAAACACCTGCAGCAGCCTGGGACCCCAGCAGTAAGATGCCCCTTACTCTCCTTGAGGAAGGGCTGGTGCAGGTTCCCAGTTGCCCTCAGACCCCCATGTGGACCCCCAGTGCCTCCTTCCCTGCCTGTCCCGTTGCCTTCTTGAAAGAGGCCTTGTTTCCACTCGCAGTAGTCATCCTTCATCCACACCCTACCTGTGAGTCCCTTCAAATCCAAGCTTTCCATTATCAGTAGCTGCCTATGGAGGCAATCAGTGAGGAATGTTGGGGGCTGCAGGGGAGAAGCCAGCACATCTTAGCCTGGGGAAATTCCCAGTGTTTCGCTAAAACGATTGTGGGCCCCACCGATCGGTCCAGAATAGCCTCTTTTTCTTTGGACATTTGGTTGTGAGATTCATTTGTCCCCATGTACTGGGAGTGCTTGGGGCCCGGCACTTGCCGACCCCAATCTTCTTGGGTTGAAAAGGTGCCCTGTGTGCGCTGCAGCTGGGCTGGGGACGCAGAGAGACCTAAGCATTGAGCTTCTGGAGAGTGGTGCGAAGCCAGGGAGACGGCCTAGAGTCAGATTTCTGTAACAGAAACATTTACCCAGTGCACACTCTGTCCTCTCTTTTGCTTTTAATAATGCTAAAACGGCTCTACCCTTTAAGCTGTGTTTCTGTCCTATACAAACAGAGCTCTTCCTCAGTCTGCATCCCTGCCCTTTCCTGCCCGCTTCACCCCACATCAGAAGCCGGCTGTCCCGCAGCGATGTCCGCCCCTGCTAGTTAAGCGCGTTTGAAATCGGTGGTGCCACCTTTCAGGGTCAGTGGCTGCGCCTTCTGCTCTTCCGTTCAGGTCTCACGGAGCCCTGGCTTCCCTCTCCTGCTGCAGGTTTCTCCCACTCGGCATTCACGTTCGGTATCGAGAGCCACATCAGCCAGTCCAACATCAATGGGACGCTAGTGCCGCCAGCTGCCCTCATCTCCATCCTGCAGAAGGGCCTGCAGTATGTGGAGGCTGAGATCAGCATCAACGAGGTACGTGCACCCCCAGGGCCCCCCAAGCCAGCAGCCCCCAGGAAACATGGCATAGCTTGGGCAACACGCGCAGATCTAATGCGCAGTTCCCTAAGGTCTTTGACAGCAAGTTGCAGCGTTTATTTTTTCACTTTGTGTTAATATTTATTCAACTAGGGGATGGTGCTGATGTCGATACACACGGAGCAAGCTTTCGATGCCCCGTGCACGTCTCTGTTTTCCATAGACATGTGCAGAATTGCTGGCGGTTGACCGATCATCACAGTATCACAATATCTTGCCAAATGTGAAAGGCGCAGCAGTTTTCAGCTGCTTTGTACTTCAGAGCGGGTGTTCGCCTTGCACATGTACAGAAAGTGCTCCCCTTGATTTCTCTGAGCAGGTCGGTGAAAGAGGGACCCCGTGACACATTGAAGTAGCATCTGTATTTCTTGTGACCCCTACAAAGGGCACAACCAGAGAATCAAGGAAAGAGAGATGGCGACTGTTGTGTTCAAGAGGATTTCAAGTCGTGATCTTATTATTCAGCTCATTGTAGAGCTGGTGTGGGGAGAGTGGAACAATAATTATAAGTTAAAATCACACCAATTTTTAAAATGGGTTGTTTTGGTTTGAAACAGCTCCCCAACGCTCCCTCCTGTTTTGCTCTTGGGATTCTCCTGTGAAGATGCCCAGGGCTCCGCGTCATCTGTGCGACCTTTCTCTCAGAGATCCTCCGAGTCCCTGATGTTTACTCCGCACTTTCCAGCTCCTTCTTTGGCCCTCCTTCCTCCCACCTTGATCCAGGCACGCTGTTCTGCCCATATTCCCCGCATTCCATCAGGATCCCTCTCGCACAGCTGAGGCCATCAAATGCCCATGCGTGCCCTCTGTACCACCAAATTTCCAAGGGTAGCCAGCTCCTCAAAAGACCCGTTCCACAGGTCACCCCACCCTTGGGCCCATCTCCCTGAATCCTTCCAGGGTTTCCTCCATCAGGTCCTCCTTTGACTTGATCTCGTCCTTACAAACCTGTCTTATTCATAGCATTTAACTCTGTGCTCTTTCTTTTCTGACATTGGTCATCTCCTCTTTCCTCGTCTTATACCGGGTGCCCAGAGCTCTTCCACAGGTTCCTTGAGGCCCCATCTGGTCTCTTTTTCCAACCACAAAGTGTGGGGATAGGAGTACAGGCCTCCGGAGGCCCCACCAGCCCTCGGATGGTGTGATGCTGTGATTCGACTTCCCTGCCCTTCTCCCCGCCACCCCCCTCCCAGGAATGCAAATTCCATTATGTCTAGAGGAGAATGAAGGTCCTTTCCTCAGTCACTTAGGTTTCAGGTCGTTAAAAGTGAGACAGCATGCTCCCAGAGTTCAGGCTAGGAGGTGTTGTTATTACTCTGGTCACTTACTACTTTGTGCAAAGTGATCATCCTTTTGGGACATGAATATGTGAAGAAGGAAAGTGACAGGGAAGTGTGCTCACCAGTCAGTCAACATTGGCCACTCCACAGCCAGACCCGGGGGTACAGTGGCTGATGAGCTACATGTTTTGCATTGTTTTATGTTGTTTCCTTATTTTCTAATACTGTCACCAGAAGTCCGCTCGAGGGGTGGTGGATCGTGAGATGCTCTCCCGCTGAAACTCAGGTCTTCCAGTTCTTCCTATTTCTGAAGTAATTCAAGTTCACAACACACAGAAACGTGTTTGCACTTGCAAAAGACAATCCGGAGGCACTGAGTTTCATGTGATTTTAATATTTGGAGCACTTGCTAAGGAAAAAACTTTGTCCTGTATTTTTAAGGGGGTATGGAAATTTTTTTCATGGGTGATGGAAACCAGAGAATCAAAAGAAAGTTCAAAAAATGTGAATCAGAACTAAATGATAATGAGCTTTGTGTGACTCTAATATTTGGAGCACTTTCTAAGGAAAGAACTTTTCTCCTGTATTTTTAAGAGGGTATGGAAATTTTTCCATCGTAAATGGAAACCAGAGAATCAAAGGAAGTTCAGAAAACATGAATCAGAAGTAAACAATGCTGTTGTCAGTATATCATGGCTATATTTAGTCTATGCCCTGAACCCAAAAAGTCATTTCAAATGGCAGCAAATGCGTATTTGATTGAATCAGATGGACAGATGTCCTAGGAATGAAATCCTGATTGGTGCAGGAGTCTCTAATTTGGGCTTGAGGCTTCCGAAGAGCTGCCTCTCCCACAGGAAAGGTAGTTATTCTCAGAGACTTCCCACACTTGTCCCAGCATCTGGGCAGGCTTCTCAACCTTGGCGCTGTTGACATTTGGGGTCCCATGTTTTTTTGTTGGGGGGGCCACCTGTGGTGCACTGTAGGATGTTGAGCAGCATCCCTGGTCTCTACCCACTAGGTGCCAGCAGCACCTCCCCAATTGTGACAACCAAAAATGTCTCCAGACATTGCCAAAGTCCATGAGGGGGCACAGTCTTCCCCCCCACAATGAGAACCACTGTATCATCAGGGATGGCACTTTTTGTCATGAAATCAAGTAGAAAGGTTCAGAGGTGCCTAATGCCCCCATTCAGTTTTGTGTTTAGCAAATATTGGGTCTCCCCCTGAGGGCGACCATTGCTCTCAGGTCCTCCAAGGATGCTCACCCTGGCCTGCCCCCTATCCCCACCCTGCCCACCTGCCCCGGCCCACTGTGGATCCCATCACATTGCTCTGGGCGCCCGGTCCATGCCGGCTCCCTCCGCGGCCCCACACTCCTGGGCCTGCACTTCTGCTCCACTGTCCTGCACCTGTCTTGCCTGCAGCACAGAGGGCCGATGCCCAGAGATGCCGTGTGGCGGGAGCTGACAGCTGTCCCCTTGGCTTTCTCCCCAGGATGGCACGGTCTTTGACGGCCGCCCCATAGAGTCCCTGTCCCTGATCGACGCTGTGATGCCTGACGTGGTGCAGACACGGCAGCAGGCCTTCCGAGAGAAGCTTGCTCAGCAGCAGGCCAGTGCGGCAGCGGCGGCGGCGGCAGCAGCCACGACAGCTACAGCAGCCACTGCGACCCCAGCAGCTGTTTCCCAGCAGAATCCACCAAAGAATGGAGAGGCCACGGTGAATGGGGAAGAGAATGGAGCCCACGCAATAAGTAAGTGCGGGCTCCGGCGTTTGCAGGCTTGAGCTTCTGGTAGTTTCTCTCTTGCGTCTGAATGTGGGCCAGTCCAGAGGACTCCTTCAGGGTCTGCCTGCTGTCGTGTCTTATGAGCTGCTTTCTAACGCTGGCTTACTGTTCGGCCCAAGGGCTGCACGCTCCAGGTTTTCATCAGAGTCCTTAGATGTGACGTTCTTTATTCACACATCCTCAATTGTAGGCAGTCCTCCTCCTTTGAGAACATTTCATATGACAAGGGAAGGACCACGTCATTACTGTCCAACAGAAAAAGGTCTCATTGGCGGAGGCCCCTGATCCCATCGGCCAGCCTTCTGTGTTGAGGCTGTTCAGCCAAATTCTGGTCTAATGGTTGAGCTCATGGGCTCCCTCACTGAGAGGGCACCAGGGCCCCAGACAGCAGGTGTCATCTTCCTGGGTCTTTGCAAAACCCTGGAAGGTTAGTCCCTGTTAGGTATTTGCCCAAGAGTATGTGCACGTGAGTCAGAGAGCCCAGACTTTTACCCGAGAACGTGACTCCACTTTGACGTGCTGCTTATAAACTTAGAGACTGCTCCAGGATCTAAGTTCAAAACATACTCGTGTGTGTGCACATGCATGTGTGCATGTGAGGGTGTGCATATGTATTATGGATACGTGTGCACGTCATTGTGCTCATATACGTGTGAGTATGTGCGAGTGAATGTGCATACATGTGTGCATGAGTGTGTCCATACAAGTGCATGTGAGGGTGTGCATGTGAGTGTGCGAATGAACGTGTGCATGTGAGTGTGTGCGAGTGAATGTGCATGTGCATACATGTGTATGTGAGTATGCAAGTGAATGTGTGCAGGTGAATGCATACATGTGCATGTGAGTGGGTACGAGTGAATGTGCATGTGCATACATGTGTATGTGAGTATGCAAGTGAATGTGCATACATGTGTATGCAAGTATGCAAGTGAATGTGTGTGTGCATGTGAGTGTGTGAGAGTCAATGTGTACGTACGTGTGTGTGTGTGCACATGTATCATGCACATGTGTGTCTTCTCCTTTCTTTAAACATTGTTTTCCTCTGAACAGCCGTGCTGCCCTAGCAGTCTGGGAGAGTGGAGATGGCCGTGGTGGTGATGCCTCACCCTGTGGGCCCAGTCTCCATGGCTTCCTCGTGTGCAGCTGGCCGGCCACCTGGCCACCTCAGATGAGGCTGCAGCTCGCACCCAAGCACCAGGGCAGGCTGTCATCCACAGGCACAGCGAACGAACTCTTCAAGTCTCTCCGGCTAGTTTTCAGATCTAGCACTGAGAGGAAAGCCCATCCGGGCTGTAGTGCAGGTTCCGTTACAGTAGGGTGACTTAATGGCCATCTGTCTAGTGTGAAATGAAAAGACGTCCCCGGCAGGCTCCCTAATCAGTAGTAACAAGGTCCAGAATGATGGGGTGGGGAAAGAAGAAGAAGAAAATATGTGGTTTCTACCCATAGGTCATTTAGTGGCTGTCCACTCACGTGCAGTACAACCCTCAAGTTTTCACAACTAAGATGGAAAGAAATGTAATTGTTTTCTTAGTCTTCCATCACAGAAACTAATTTGTAATTGGTGAACTTCGAGCAATCTGTATGTCTGCCAAGAGAGAAATTTTGCAGAATTTTAAATGGCACCGATTTCTTTTAAATCTTAAGAAACTCTAATGGAATGTGGCTGCATAGAGACGAGTGTGCAACATACAGCCTGCAGGCAACTCGCAGACAGAGGGCCTTCAATTCATTAGTACCTGTGGGTTCCTTTTTGCCTGAGGGCTTGCTGCCCCCCTCCCTGGCACACCTTCCTCTGCTTTCCGACTTTTGCTTTCTCCCTGAAGCCTGGTGCGAGTTCTGCACTTTATTCCCATCTTTCTGCAAGGCAGGCCGCGGCCATACCGGAGTGTGTGCGGTTACATTTCATTCTGACCCTCAAGAATCTTTTTCCTCCTGCCACTTTGGGGAAGAACAGCCACTTTCCAGAATGGTTCCCTTGAAGATGGCATTTAGCATGGCTTGTCTCCACTGTCATCAAGCATACCCAAGAACCCAGAATCAGGATCCCACGGTTCATCCAGGGTGGGCTCATTCAGTTAGAAAGGCTGGCAGTTCTGCTTGGTTTGAGAAGTCTGACACAAAGGTGACTGCAGTAAGAAAAGAGCATTTGAGTCCTAAGAACATGAGGGTGTTTGAAGGCAGGGGGGGGAGGATGTTGGGTATACTGGTGGGAGCTTCAAGATGAAGAGGTGACACCTCAGAAGGGTGCTCCCCAGTAATTAATGACTTGTCCCATTGGAGAACAAAAATCGTCTGCTGGCTCTTGTCATCTCTCTCCAGTCTTGTTCTGGTTGTTGCTAGACCTTAGTCTGGCCCTACTTATGAAGAATAGATAACAGTTTTTATTCCTCTATCAAATTTGGAGACTGTTGAAACAAAGCAACATATATTTACTGAATTGCACAAAAGCTATGATTTAGTTATAATCATCAGAGGTAATATTACTTAGTGCATAAAAAGAAGGTATTTCTAAAACGTCCCCTGAGAATGAATTTCTTTTGTATTGATCAGCTGTGGGTTTTTACTGTTTCCCATGACAGATAATCACTCAAAACCAATGGAAATAGATGGGGACGTTGAGATTCCACCCAACAAAGCCACAGTCCTCCGGGGCCATGAGTCCGAGGTGTTCATTTGTGCCTGGAACCCCGTCAGTGATCTCCTAGCGTCTGGGTAAGGATGGCAGCTGGGTGTGCTCCAGAGTCTGGGGTTCCAAGATGCTCGCTCTTCTCTGGAATTCTGCCTCATGGGACACACGCTTCCCTCTGACCTTGTTTGTGGTGTCTTTCCAGTGTGTGCAGCCTGAGGCCTGGGGTGTGTGCCCCACTCCTCCTTAGACTATGGGAACAAGAAGTCCTTGTTCCAAGCCTTTTCTCAGTGGGATGGGGAGCAATGCCAAGACATTTAAAATGACTAATACAAAGATCAAGAGGAGAAAAACGCAGTGAGCGAGGGGTATTAAAAAGATGGAAGGCCACAGGCCACAGATGGCTGACCTAGCCAGACAGCAAGTAGTGACGAGCTTCAGTTCCCCTTGAAGCGAATGTTGAACGACTCCATGTTTTCATCCTACAGATCTGGAGATTCGACTGCAAGGATATGGAACCTTAATGAAAACAGCAATGGGGGCTCCACCCAGCTCGTGTTGAGGCACTGTATACGAGAAGGGGGACACGATGTCCCAAGTAATAAAGACGTGACCTCGCTGGACTGGAACGTAAGCATCTGCCGCCTCCCAGATGTTAAATCTGTAACATCTGCCAGGCGTCACGGCGAGGGCTGCGTGTTGGAGCGTGTGCGAGCGCAAGGACGCAAAGGGTCCCGTTTGCCAGCCGCCCCGGGGGCTAGTGTCATGGGGGCTCTCTGTTTCTGAGAGTTCCTAACGAGGCTGCATTGGGCAGACAGCTAGCTGGGTGTTCACTAGTCATTCCGCATATGTCTGTAAGATGAGTCGGATGGTTTTATCGGGGCAGCTAGGCCAAGGGGAGCCCCAAGATGGTTGTGCTGGGAGATGTGATGAGCAGCCAAGGACAGATGACCTTCCCCCTTGATACTCCAGCAGCCGGTGTTCTGTGCATTTATACGGGGGACACACACAGGGCTTTATAACTTCTTCTGACTTTCTCTTGTTCTTGATAGTGTTTCTGGACATTCTGTCATTTCCTCACAGACTCTACTCTTCTCTATGTGCAAACACATTTTTAAAAGCTTACTTAAGTCTCCAAAAGTCTCCTTATAACTTGTCACATGGGATTTTTTTTTTTTAAGATTTTATTTTTCCTTTTCTCCCAAAGCCTCCCGGTACATAGTTGTGCATTTTTAGTTGTGGGTCCTTCCAGCTGTGGCATGCGGGACGCTGCCTCAGCGTGGCTCAATGAGCAGTGCCATGTCCGCGCCCAGGACTCGAACCGGCAAAACCCTGGGCTGCCAAAGCAGAGTGCACAAACTTAACCACTCTGCCACGTGGCCTGCCCCTGTCACATGGGATTTTTAATTATGTCATCAGGTGTGAGTGGTTACATTGTATTTTCCTTGCTCCCTCACCTCCTTGGTTGCAACTCCTATGTTTTAATTTAGGAACAGTGTGAGCTAAAGTTAGTGTCTTACCTGGGAACTTATTAGTGACTTAAGAATATCTTCGATTTTTCAGTCCTGCCCTCCTAAGCTGTTTTTGTTGGTCTGTGTTTCTGGCCCACAGAGTGATGGCACACTGCTGGCCACAGGTTCATATGATGGTTTTGCAAGAATATGGACGGAAGATGGTAAGTCCTGCCTCCCTCGGGTTGGGGTTGGAGAAGAGGTGCTTCAGCGTGTAGTCTTCGAGTGAACAGACTATGACTTTGAAGTCAACGACAAACAAGTTTACTGTTTTTTGTATGTTTTTTACATAACAGGTAACCTGGCCAGCACCTTAGGCCAACATAAAGGCCCCATCTTTGCCTTGAAATGGAACAAAAAGGGGAATTACATCTTGAGTGCTGGTGTAGACAAAGTGAGTAGTAGCTTAAAATACATCTCTTTGATCTAGAGATGCTGATTTATTTTTAATCTCTAGATAACATCGTGGTTTCTTTGAATTCTAAGACTTTCTGCTTCCCCTTAAGAAATCAAAAGAACTTGTTTAGATTTTGTTTATTTTCTTGGTTTTGATCTTACTGTTAATTTATAACACATCATCTTTTAATATATTAAACTGTTGCACAGACTTTGTGCATAGCTTCCCGCATTTGTTCTAAGGCACATAAGTTCAATGACAGGAAGAAGAGATTTCCAAACTGCGTTTGCTAACACTCAAAGAGGCAAGCTGGTGTGGGGTGTGCTGTGCATACACTTGCACCCACTGAGCGATTTTAGAAGCACAGACTGTTTTCCTCACCAGCCTTCTGTTTTCCTCCTTTGGTGGATTGTTACTTCCCATTGTAGACTGCAGATTTCTCTGAGAGCAGTAGAATAGACACACATACAAGAGTGCCTGCTCCCAACAGCCTGCGGGGCAGATGCCAAGTTTACAGGCTTTGTCCCTGGCCGGAGCTACCAGGCGGAGGTGATGGCACTAAATGCGAGTGGCTGCGAACACCCGGGTGCATCTAGCAGCCGTCACCAGGGGAGGGAGCACAGGACCAAGAGTAGGGAGGTGCAGGCGGCGCCCCGGCTCTGGGTCTGATGAATCCAGCCCGTCTCAGCCTCTCTGGGTTTCCTCAGTTGTTGAGTGACAACAATAACTTGGAATGAACGGTGTGCCATTCCTGAGACTCAGTAGGAATTCCAAGTCATTGCTTTGGAAAAGAAGTATTAGCAAGAAATGAATAAGAAGTGGGGCGGGGAGCACGTTTTCACATCAGTTTGTGTTTCTACAACTAGAAACTGTGTCTGAATACTGTACTTTGCTTTGGTCTCTAAAAGCTTCACATTTTCATCATGGCTTCAGGATAATTTGAAACCCTTAGTAAGTTGCTGCTTTCTATTCATTCATGTTCTAAAAATTAATATAAAATAATAGACAGACCTGTAAACATTGGCACGCTCTTGGAGAAATCATAGTTGCATTTGGCGAACTGCAGCCCACGGGCCAGATCTGGCCATCACTTGTTCTTCTTGAGGCACACCTACACGCGTTTGTGTAGAATTGTCCATAACTGCTTTCACACGACAACAACAGAAGTGACTCAGAGACTGAAGGGCCCTCGAAGCCTAAAGTATTTACTATCTGGCCTTGACAAGTTTGGTGACCCCCGCACTAGAGGAGAGCCCTCTAGGTGAATGCATCATTCATTCTTGATCTTTCTCTGTTCTAAGCCAATAAACCCTTCATTCAAACTCGTTAGCCTAATGTCTAATATTGAAAAAGCTGAGCTGCTGTGGTTGACACACTAAATGTTCTCACAGAAACACCACCAAATTTTCCGTGAGATGTTCTGGTTCAGATATTGCGCACACACAGCACTTTGTCGTGTCAGCAATATAGCTGATTGAATTATTAAAATGATTTGTGCAAATGATCACTAACCTTTAAGAAGCACTTTACCTACCGCATGTGTTGGCCCATTCGATGCTCCCAAGATGGGAGGCAGGCCCTGGTGGGGTGGATCTCATTTCACAGGGGGCTTTGCTCATCTACTCGGGACACACTGGCCTAGACTGGAGGTGGAGTTGGAACTCAGGCCTTGGGTCACTAGTCATTACTGTCCTTTGACTTTCACAGAATTCTAAAGAGTTCTTTGCATCCTCACCTCCTTATTCCAGGGGCTATTTTTTATATTTATTTCTGATTTTCTAGCTGTTTATCCTTTTTGACTCTACCAGATGATGAGCTGTGTGGTCAGTGAAAATGCACTTGTGAAATTCTCTTAGTCCTTGGGTCATACACTATCTGCCATTATTAGTCAGCCATGACGGGAATAATAGTAATGTTCTTGAAAGTAATACCCAGGGAGGAAATGTAATTTACACGATTGCTGGCCTTGACTATCCGTGCATGCTTAACCCAAAGTGGCTAAAGTATCTTTCAGATTGTTAAAAGCTTTTGTGTAATCTATGTTTTCTTTTGTCCCGTGTATAGTTAATGTAAACATTAACAAACAAAACATGATACAATTACTGATGTGGTATCTGAAATTCTATCAGAATTGTGAAAGAGTTTATATATTCTCTGCAGTACCAGATTTGTTTGTGAGTGGCTAAATTAAGAAAAGAGTTACAGTCCACCAAACAAACAAGTGTTAACTGGCCTAGAGCTGACCCCAAACTTCGAGAACCAAGTTTCAAAGATACTGACAGCTCTGAGTATTTCCTCTGAAAATTTCTGCCATCAACACAGCACTGTGACCAGTTCTTCTTAAAGCAAAATCTTTATCGTCATTGACAGGGAGGTGGATAGGTTCCAGTTAAGTTGAAAATTTCAGTTGATTAAGACTCAGTTCCGATGGTGTTCATTGAGCTGCCTCTGGCTGCCTCCCTGGGTGTCTTCCCAACATCAGTAAGCTCATAAGAATTCATGATTTACTTTGTTTTCCAGGGCAGAGGTCATTTTACCCCCTTATTTATAGACCAATAAATCAGCCTCACCCCTGCGTAATTCAATTTCTCTGCTGTACCCAGTATTCCCAATTCAGGGGGTGACGGTCAGGGGAATTTTCAGAAATGCCGGTTTCGGTAGCTCTTCATTTGGAAAATCCCAGAAAGATGTTTACATATGCTTTGTTCTAGGTTTTTCAACAGTTTTCCATGTTTGAGGATGAGGGGGAATCCCCACCAATTTTGGTGGTTTTCAGAGTATCAGTTATGGCTGCTGTGTCTCATGGAGCAGCCCTCAGCACCTGTGGCTGTTGAGGTCATAACATGTGGCCATCCAGATTAAGTGTAAAACTCACACTGGGTTCCAAAGACCTAGATGAAAAAGAGAATGCCAAATATCTCATTAATACTTATATACTGATTACATGTTGAAACAATAATATTTTGGCCATAGTGGAATGCAATAAAATATATTGTTAAAATTAGTTTTACAAGTTTCTTTTTTTTAGTGTGCTTGCTAGAAAATTAAACATTTCCTGTGTGACTCACATTCTATCCCTGTTGGACAGTGCTGGTTTAGAAGGAAGAGGGGCTCGCTGCCTTTTCTTGTACAATAAATTTTTCTGAGAAAACTTTGCAAGAAGAATAGTTACTAACTTCTTCTTTTTATTTGCGGAGCGCAGACAACAATAATTTGGGATGCCCACACAGGAGAAGCCAAACAACAGTTTCCATTTCATTCTGGTGAGTTGTGGGGTTTTTTTGTAATTCAAAAATAATAATTCAGAGTCTTATGAAATGTCCCAAAATGTCATCGTGACTGATTGGAGGAAGGAGGCCGTGGAATCTGGCTGGTGGGAAGGAAACCCATTTCGTGGCAAGTATTGCTCTTAAGGTTTACAAGATACAGATGCTGTCAACACCCACCTGCTCAAAAGTTGGATAACACAACAGCGAACCAACCATAGCACCAGTGTGGACTCCTTTCTCTGGCTGTCTCTTCAAGAGGGATGTTGTGTTGGGGATCCCTGAGACCACACCCAGATTCGGCAGTTCGCGGGGAGGGCTCACGGAACTCCGCATATCCATGTACTCACAGCTGACATTTGCAGCAAAAGGATGCAAAGGGAGATTTTCGAGCACAGGGCAATATCCAGAGTTCCCAAAGATCCCCTCCCAGTGGAGTCACACACAGGACATGATGAATTTCCCTAGAAACACGTTGATAACACATGTGAAGGGTCTCCTACCTGGGAAACCCATCAGAGACTCAGTGCCCAGGGTTTTCCCTTTGAAACTGATCTCGTAGGCACCCTCTGCCTGGCAGGTACCAAATTCCAGACTCCCAGAGGGAAAGCAGGGATTCGGCATAAACCATGTTATTTGCACGAACAGTTTAGGCACAGAAGTGCTTCTCATGAGTTAGACAGTGGTAGGAGCCCTCTGCGCGTCTGAATTCCCAGACATGGGCCAAGGGCCAGCCCTGCCAGTAGGCCTTCCCATGGAGAGTCTTGGCTGCGTGGGCATGTGGCCGCTACTCTGGTCCTCACCACGTCCCCGTGTGTGTTGGGGCCACATGGGGCAGCCAGGGGTCCAGAGACTCCAGTTTTGCAGATTCCCACCTGATAGTACATGCTCTGTGCAACTCAGTCCTGTTGTTAGATGTGGCCTCTCCGCTTAAGACATGGACAGACAACCACACCCTCAATTAATAGACCGTCAGAAGAGACTGGCTTAAAGTTGACAGAGGGAGTAGATGCCACTTCCCTTCTCGAAGTGTCTGTTCCATTTTGAGGGAATCACTAAATGTATGGGGTGAACGTTCAGTGTTAGATCGAGTGTCCCTGAGGTGGTGCTCAGGAAGGGATCAGCGTGTCTTTCCTGATGGTAGTTTGGGGAGCCCGGTGATGGGTGATGGAAGGGCTCACCCCGAGACGGCACAGCCCATCCTGGTGCCCAAGGAAGGCTCCAAGCAGGGGACCTTGGTCCTCCGGGGAGCAGACTATGAGCCAGAGGTCCCAACGAGGCAGGACTGTGCCAGATGCATAGATGCCAAGGTCTGTTATCCCACGTGGTCTTTGAGCAGTGCCCCTCCTGATGGAGGCAGCTCACAGCCTGAGGCAGACCCAGGAGGCTGTGTTTACACCCTGCTGCTTTGGAGAGGTGGCGCCTTTCTTCCGGGGCTGTCCTCAAAGTGGTCCCCAGTGGATACACCTCTTGAGGCTGCTGGTGACTTTTGTTATTGGTGTTGCTTCAGTCTTACACCATCGATAGTGTGGAAGTTGCTGCACATAGTACAGAACATACTTCTCCACCAGGACATGGGCACGGCTCTGAATGCAGGCAGGTTGGGATCCCAACCAACGTGTGTGTGTGTGTGCGTGCGTGTGTGCGCACATGCGTGCGCCAGAGTATACATAACATAATATTTTGTATTATGTTATAAAATACAGCCATGAGGAGAGCCTGGGTGAAGGGTACATGGGATCTCTCTGTACTATCTTTGAAACTTCCTGTGAATCTGTAAGCATTTCAAAATTATGGTTTTTTTTTAAATAAAAGCAAAGAAAAGCCTGAGTCTCCCGAGAATAGTGTTGGCTGCTGAACCTCACTGGCCCACGTGTGGGTCGGGCGGCACACAGATCCCCAGAATAGCTTAGCCCTGTTACTGTCACTCACCGACACTGGGTGGTGAGATCATATCGGGGGCTCCAAGGGTCCTGGTGGCAGAGGCCGACTCAGAGTCGTGCCAGCTACCTGAGTACAGAGGGTCCCTTCTTTGGATGACAAGGGTCAGTAGACATTAATTTTTATGGCCAGGTGCTGGTCACCATTCCCTGAACTGCCCATCCAGATCGTCACATTTCCAGGCGCATTAATTGCATGCCTGGAAGGCAGTGGCTGGCCCAGGAATTTGAGATTTTGCTCATGCAGTGTTGTAAACAAGAGCCTCTGTGGGCTTTGCTCTTTGGCTCACGGGATCATCATTCTGAACAAACAGGTTGCTTCCTTCATTCCACTGGGCACACGTGATAAATGTCCCGGGGACCGTGGGGCTGTCATGAAACATTCTGCTGGGGATGTAAAACAAAGAGATCCCCAGGGGGCCGGCCCTGTGGTGTAGTGGTTGAGTGGTGCTCTGCTTTGGTGCATGGGTTCATGGTTTCAAATCTTGGTCGTGGACCTACATCACTCATCAGCCATGCTGTGGCAGTGACCCACATATAAAGTAGGGGGAATATTGGCACAAATGTTAGCTCAGCAACAATCTTCTTCAAGCAAAAAAAAATGGAAGATTGACAACAGATGTTAGCTCAAGGCTAATTTCCTCAGCCAAAAAAAAAAAAAGAAGATCCTCTCTGCTGTTGGAAAAGCCAGTGCTGACTCTCAGCCAAATCCTCTCACCATAATCTCCACCTGGGGCTGGAACAGGACATGGAAGCTAATAGGATCCATCCCTGCAATTATGGAAGGTAGACATGTGGAGGGGTGCACCTTTTATTTAAAGCTGAGGAAAGGAAGGGGTAATCCAATTGTTAGCATATCCTGAGTAAGCTGGATTCTTCTTCCAATTCAGTGCTGACTTACCTTTAAGAAAACACACAGGAGACAAGGTTATGTATTGATCAGTTGGTGAAAATGCTGTGACCAGAGGCTTGCAGGAGCCTAACTCCCTATTTCCCCTAGAAGCATGAAAGTGTTGGGAAAGAACAAAGATGTTGAGTAGTGTGATGGGGAGGTGAGTAGAAAGGGGAGAGCACCGTGAGTCAGGAGGGTGGTCACCATCCCCCAGCCCCTCAACAGAGCTTGTGGGGCCACCTGGACCTGAGAAAGGCCCAGGAGCCAGATAAGGTGTTCATCACAAGTCCTGAGCCATGAGCCCAGTTGTGTCCCCAAAGGGGTTCTTGTCAACTCTTAAGCATCCTCCAGTTGGTGGGATGTCTTATGTGTTGTGGGAGATGTTTCAAATCAGGATATCTTGATCTAGGATAAGAAATCTGCTTCCTCTCCTTTTCTCTCTTCCCTATCTAAAACAAATCAAATCAGCCCACGCCAGCGATATTCCTGGAAGCTGTAAGGTGCAAGAGCGGGTGGCACATGCTTCTCACCTACCCCTCTCACCTGTGCCAGGGGAGCAAGAGACTCTGCATGCCATGGGCACTTGAAGTGTCATGGGGTCTCGCTCCAGAGTTTCTCGTCATCCCTCCAAATGCGGAAGGAGAAGTCTTTAAGGCCTAGGAGGGAAAGAGCTTGTGTTCACACTGGGAGTATTTTTTTCTCATCATGTTACTAGATAAGGCTTCTTGACTGTGCTTTTAATTGTTCTGAATCAACTGAGCTCTGTGCTCAATCAGTAAATGCAAATGTCCGCCCTCTCCTCCCTGCTCCACAGCCCCTGCTCTCGATGTAGACTGGCAGAACAACACTACCTTTGCCTCCTGTAGCACAGACATGTGTATTCACGTCTGCAGGCTCGGCTGTGACCGCCCCGTCAAAACCTTCCAAGGACACACAGTGAGTGCCAGTTCTGATTATGGGACTTGAGTTCATGAGAATATGCTGGGAGTGGGGAGCCATCGCCTCTCTGCCTAGGATTAAAAGATGCTGTGACTGCAGGCCAGTTCCTCTGCAGCCCTTTGCTACGTGTGTTGTTGTAACTATCTCAGGTGGTTGGATTAGCCCAGTTATGAGCAAGCAGCAAAGACTTTAAAGTGGCTATTATAAAAATGTACAAGGACATAAAGGAAAGGATGCTTGTAATGAGTGAATAGATTGGGAATGTCAACAGAAAAAGAACAGCTATATTCTTAAAAAGCATTGAGATGAAATTCTGAAAACTGAGAGGTATAATGTCTGAAATGAAAATTGTAATGGGTGGGTATAACAGCCTATGAGAGATTGCAGAAATAAGGTTAGTGAACCTGGAGAGAGATCATAGAAATTAGCCAGTTTGAAGAATTGATAAAAGATTGAACAAATGAACAGAGGCTTAATGACCTACAGGACAATATGAAGCACTCTAGCATACATGTATATTGGAGAGAGGAAAAAAGAGAATGGAACAGAAAAATTATTTGAAGCAATGATGGCCAAATTTCCCCAAATTTGGTGGAAAACTTCAACTTTCAATCCAAGAAGCTCAAATGCCAGCTGACTTCTCATTGAATTCCTTAGTGTGGCACAGGAGGCTTTTCACAGCCTTTTCCCAGCAGATCTTGCTCGTGTCCAAAGCCCCCTATACCTCAGCCCTCCTGGAAGACCTACTGGGTTTGAGCACCTCACACCTGCAATGCTCCCCTTCAACTTTCTCACAACATCCCATGCCACTAATTTAATGGACATAAATTCCATTGTCCTCGGCACTTACCTGTTTCCTCAGTACCCACCTTTTCCACTTCTGTCCCCACAGGTCCCTGCTTCCAAAAAAAGGTGCTTTCAGAGCACAGGGATCATACGTCATGTTAACATCTCATTGTGGCTCTAAACTGACCCTTCTCTTTATTTTTCTGCTATGAGTGTGTTTCTCCTCTAACTCAAGACTATTCCCAGGCTTTTAATAGGGCTGCGTGTGAAGTCTTCGTGACTGCCAGCCATCACACCATTTGGGTCTTTTTGCAGCTCATCATTCAGCACAAGACGTGAGTTTAGTGTAGTGGAGTCTTTTTCTTCCCAAGACCTGTGAGCTGCCTGGGAACCATGACTGGGGCTGTAGAGGGAGGGAGGGAAGACCACACTTTCAGGAAGGAGTTTGTTCCACTGTGGAGGAATAAAGGTGGTTTCGATGGGGACGGTCAGTGGGGACCAGCTCCACATTCCCAGGCCCTAAGAGATCCACCCATGGGTTCTCCTCTCAGCAGGTGCAGTCGGAGCCACCCAAGTTGCCCTTGTCCTGGCAAAGCCTGTCCCTGGGTCAGCACCTCTTATCAGACACCAGGTTCTTTTGCTGTCCTCCTAGACCTGCTTTCTCATGCACGTCTGTGTGTGTGTACACACACACAACCCGTCCCCTCCAGTCCAACCCCTTCGTCCTTCCCTGACTCACCCAGTGGTCTGCTCCATGGACTCCAAGCTTCCTTCCTCCCTTTTCTCTGGGCCATTCGCTGTTGGTACCACGTGGAACGTAAATGTGGTCTTGTCACTTCCCCACTTCACGCTTCAAAATTTGGTGTCCATAGCAGGAAGCATGACCATAAACTTTATCATCCAAACCAGAGCACTTAGGAGTAGAAAATTAATTATGAGTGTGAAATTAGTTAATTGTTAGGCTGGGACAGCAGGCAGGCGTGGGACTCTCCTGGGCAAATGGGGCCCTCAGTCACCCTCGTAGAAAGCCCAGGACCCACGCCTTGCTCCCACCGTTTCTCCTTGGCTTGCCATGCCCAGCATGTATCCCCCCACCTCCAGACCTGGCCACAGTGTGGCCCCTCCGCCCTTACCCTCATCCTCCAGGATTTAGCCTCTGGTGCGTCAGACGCTTTGTTTCTCTACATCCCCCCACTCTCCACACAGCACCAACAGAGAAATGTCTTGTACGGATTTAGACAGAGAGAGTAGCTGTTGTATTAAAAGTGCGTAGGAAATTGATTTTAAAAGTCAGCTTTGAAGTAGCAATGGTCTTGTTGGTTTTACGTGCTACACTTATTACGTGTAAGTTTGTTGGGCTTCCTTCCTAGCTGTGATTTTTTTCCTTAGAGAAATATGGATGAGGGTGACTGGTTGTGTATGGTATATGGCTTGCTTTTCTATAAATGAGAAAGGCAGAGTCAAAGGAGAGGAAGATATCTGGCTCCTGGGCTGGCGTTCTTTGAGATCCTGGGTGGGTACAGATGCTCTTCGCGAGCTGACGAAGTGCTCCTGCCCCCTGCTGGAAGGTTGCCTTACTACTCACAGGCCTTTCTTCTTAAAACCCTTTGCTCTCTTTCAGAATGAGGTCAATGCCATCAAATGGGATCCTTCTGGAATGTTGCTAGCATCTTGCTCTGATGACATGACATTAAAGGTAAAGTCGTGGGAAAGGATGGCTCTTTGATCGGAGATGACCCCATGTACTCAGTACGGGTCTTGCAGTCCCTGCTCCTCTGGCTGATTATTTCATTATGAGCAGCTGCTGCCTCTGTCGTTTTCCCCATTGCTCCCTCGATGGTTTGCTCTCCTCCAGTTAACTCCTGTTTATCAAAGCTCCTGCCGAGAATCCTTCCCTTCCCTGTGACCTTTCTCACGGCTGCCCCCTAGCATTTTGCCCACCCCTTTGCGTGCTGCACACTGCACGGATGGTGCGCTTCCCAAGGGCCAGAAACCTAATGAGCGCTCACAGAATGAATGATGTTGGACCAGTCCTGGTCGGAGAAACAGGGTTTGTTCACATTGTTCCTGATACGTTTTCTAGATCTGGAGTATGAAGCAGGATACATGTGTCCATGACCTTCAGGCTCACAGCAAAGAGATATACACCATAAAATGGAGTCCCACCGGACCAGCCACCAGCAACCCAAACTCCAACATCATGCTAGCAAGGTAAGGGGGCGGCCTGCAGCCCAGTCTTTGTTCCCAAAAGCAGCCTTGCTCCCTGCAGCTGAGCTAGATACACAGCCAGTAAAAGTTATTCGTATCCAGGGGAAACAAAATTTTGCTAAGGTGTGTTGCAAGTTTGTTTACTCCCTTCCTTCCAAGCTAAATGAAACAATAGCTCACTTGGAAGGGGCCCGCAAGATATACATATCACATGACCCCTGACCTGCAGTAAGGAGGGTTTCAGCCACGAGGCTGGTGTGGCCAGGCTTCCAGCACTGGGCTTTGGGGAAGGTTTTATTATGGCAGAGAAGGGAAGCAGCGTTCCGCTCGGACCTTGGGCTTGGTTGACATAGTGCGACTCCGAGCTGCAGGTGGCGGGACTTCTGAGTGGTGATAAAGGGTCCCCAGCCCTAGGCAGGTCTGACCAGCCCGTTTCTATAGTGCACCCCCTCAGACACCAGCAGGAGGGAAGAGTGGTTAGAAGGGACCACAGTGGCCTCCTCAAGCCACATCCCTTTAGGCTGCAGTCACCAGAATTGTCTCATCCCACCACTCCTCAGGCCCCATTCGGGATCTCCCATTCTGCCTTGGTACTGTGTTTTAATGAGAACGTTTAGAAGAACAAGCTGAAGAGATTCTGAGGCTGATGCTCGGATACCTAGGGGTCTGGAAACCATGATCCAAAGAAACGGAGGTGTTTGTTTAGCCCGGAGAAGACAGGGCTCCAGAGGGATGCTTCCCTCCCAGGAAGCAGCAGGGGCTTTATTCCGTGCCTTACAGAGAACAGAGTTGTGGGGAGAGGTGACCAGTGGCACCGTCCCCTGTAGCTGAGGAAGCACCTCCCCTCCACAGCGTAGCAGTGGGGGCAGGGCGGCCTCGCCAAGCAGCAAGCACTTGTTGCTGAAAGTGCGCCACCCAAGGCCGTCTCTTAGAAAACACTGGAAAGAATCCCTGTGTCAACTGAGAGGCTGAACCAGAAGAACACAAAGGCCGTAATTCTCTTATTTCAAGTAATTGTCCTAAAATCCACTTAAATGACGATGATACAGAACACACTGCAATCATTTTTTTTGATGACTTGGAAGGTGCTTTTGTGTCACGTGGTACCCATGATGAGCATAAATTTTCCTTTTAGTCAATGAGTATAAAAGGGCCCTACCAGTGCCTAATGCGTCCCTGTGGAGAGAAAGACTGCCAGATGGCAGCCTTGTGAGATGCACTATTCTTTTAAACTTGAAAATACCCAAAACGCGCAGCCCTCGGCAGTGTGACTGCCTATTTGGAGGCGATTGTATTTTAATCCCGTTGGATTAAAATTTCTATTCACTCATGCTATTTTTTCAAATTTCGCTATCAGCATTATCTCAGTTGATAACAATAGATGTTGTGTTTTAAATTATAGGAGCATTTTAAGAAATGTGGTAAATATTCTACAAAACTATTTGTCATTCGTACTTATAGAAAATGCAGATATCAATTTGTTTCCCTAATAGCACCAAGAAAAAAAAGAAAAGAAAGGAAAGATTTGTTTTATAACTGTGGCTTTGTTTTCAATACGTCTGAGTCACATTTTAGAAGAGAAAAAGTATACCATTTATTTTCTCTTGAAACATAAAAGCTCGGAAAGAAAAACAGCTCACAATGCCTGTTAAATGTCTTAGAGAAACAGAAAGAAACCACCGTGTTTCTGTGCTGATGTTTTCTCTCTCGTCTTTCTAGTGCTTCGTTTGATTCCACGGTTCGACTGTGGGATGTCGAGCGAGGTGTTTGCATCCACACGCTAACCAAGCATCAGGAACCTGTCTACAGTGTAGCTTTCAGCCCTGACGGGAAATATTTGGCCAGCGGCTCCTTTGACAAGTGCGTGCATATCTGGAATACTCAGGTAATGCCCCGATTCCTGTGGCCGAATCCTTTCTGAAAGCAACACCCAGAGAATCATATTTTCGGTGACCCAGGCTCAGAACAGCACCTGGGGATTTCATGCTCAGGAATGAGTTGCCTCAGACGGAGCCTTGAAGCAAACCCCACCTCCCCAGGCAGACCCCAGGCCGAATGCCGTCTGCCCTGTGCTCCGTATGGGCTGTAGGTCTTCCCCCCAGAGACCCCCACTGTCCTCTGTTACTTCTTCTGAGTCCCTGGTGTGAAACCTTCTACTTGCCTCATCCTTTTCCGGGGCACAAACAGTTATTTCTGAAAAGTGTAGCCCAGTCATCTTATTGCCAGAGATGCTGCCCTCTGGGTACTAAAGTTGGGGCGAGACATGTCTGTCCATCTGATCTTTCTGGGGGACCAGCCAACTGAGACAAGGCCAGCCCTGACCTCCCCCGCTCCACAGCAACTTCTGTAGCTTCTCCGTGGAGCGAGTGAGGGAGTACGAAGGAATATTTGTCTGCTGTTGTCATGACAGTTCAGTTCTTCAAATGGAAATATTTTATGTTTGGGTAGCAAAGGTATATCAATATTGGGTTGTCCTGTTAGCAGGACTAAAAGGAGACAGTATTTGAGTAAATGTAGCCAGTAGGGGTATCTCTGGCCACGCTGAGGATAAGAGAATTCTGAATATAGAGTGGAAATGGACGAGAACTAATAGAGTATCAGGTGTTCTGTTGGGCAGTCAGCTCCCGGTTCTCCTGCTGACGAAAGAGAGAAATGGTAGGATGGCTGGAGTCACTGCAAACGGCCAACGATCTCTTTTGGCCTCCAGTGATTGATTAACTGGCCTCCCCTCTCCCCTCTTAATCGACCCAGCTTGCTGATTCCCTTTGGCTTGTTTGACTTTCAGATGGGTTTGCATTCTCAAGTCCATACCCCCTTGTGGCAGGGGAAGGTGATAGATGAGCCAGGTTAACTGGCATGGAGCAGGAGGAGGTCCACTGAGACCTCAGGCTTCCCAGGGACTGCCTGACATGAACCACATCCTCTCAGGCAGAGAGAGGTAATAGTGGACCCTATGTGGCCTGGCATGGAGCTGAGCCTCACAGCCCTAGATAGGCTGCTCGGAAAACATGCATCCCGGAAATAAGGTGTGAGAGTCTGTATTCGTGAAACACATACTAGAAATAGTGATGGATCTGTAGAATGACATCATTGACAAATGACATGATTGGTTAGGTACCGCCTACTGTCAAAAATTACTCATCAAATTAGTTCACTCTGTTTTTATTTTTTGAAGATTGGCCCTGAGCTAACGTCTGTTGCCAATCTTCCTCTTTTTCTTTTTCTCCCCAAAGCCCCAGTACATAGTTGTATATCCTAGCTGTAAGTCATTCTGGTTCTTCTGTGTGGGACGCTGTCTCAGCATGGCCTGATGAGCGGTTTGTAGGTCCACGCCCACGATCTGAACTGGCAATCCCCAGGCCGCCAAAGTAGAGCATGCAAACTTAACTTCTCGGCCATGGGGCCAGCCTCAGTTCACCCCTTTTTTTTTCTCTCCCCAAATCCCCCCAATACATAGTTATATATTTTAGTTGTGGGTCCTTCTAGTTGTGGCATGTGAGACGCCACCTCAATGTGGCCTGACGAGCAGTGCCATGTCCTCACCCAGGATCTGAACCAGCGGAACTCTGGGCCGCCGCAGCGGAGCGTGCAAACTTAGCCAGTCGGCCATGGGGCCGGCCGCCTCACCCCTTTTTTACAAATCACAAAACTCTTTGAGCCATTTTAAAGCTCATTTTAATCCTCAGTGACGTGGATGCCTTCTCTAAATATAGAAAAATATATAATATTGTTGACTTGTTCCTCACCTAGTTCCTGTCTTGTACGAAGGGCTGCCTGAGTCTCCTGCCACCAGTCATTGGCTGGCCATGGCCCTGGGAGGGTGACCTGGGCTGAAATGTGGAGGTGGATTCTGTGGGCAGCCATAGGTCACTTCCACTCCCCATTGTAGCAAGTCTGAGAGAGACATGTCTCCAGCCACCAGTGTTTTCTGAAAACTCTTTTAACTTCCATTCATGTGAAAATTTTTGTGATAACGCATGGGGGTGGCGAGGAGTGCCCATCCCGCCACATCAGTGTGCTAAGTGCCCCCTGCGTCATGAGTGACGATTGCTTTGCTTTGCAGAGTGGAAGTCTCGTCCACAGCTACCGTGGCACTGGCGGCATCTTTGAGGTTTGCTGGAACGCCCGAGGGGACAAAGTGGGCGCCAGTGCGTCCGACGGCTCTGTAAGCAGCACCTATGGTTTGCTGGGGAGTGGAGGGCGGAAAGACGCAAAGCCAGGCAGCTGACACCACGTGTGCTTCCGGGGAGTGTGATGGGTCCTTGTCTTCGAGGGCCACAGCAGGCACTCAACAGACGTGTACTGGGTGAAGGAAACTTCTGGGTGGATCCTGTTGGGTTGGCACCACATCTGAGAATGGCCGTCTCTTCCTCCCTTCCAGAATGTCATTCCAGTGGACGTTTTCTCAGTGAAATTGGTGGTTCTCAACCAGGGTGATTCTGGCCCCCTGAGGAGGATAGGCAATGTCCGGAGGCATTTTTCTTGTCACTATTTTGGTGGGGGGGTGCTACTGGCATCTAGTGGGTGGAGGCCAGGGATGCTGCTAAATCTCCTACAATGCACAAGATGGCACCACAAAAGAAGTATCTCGCCCCAAATGTCATTGGTGCCAAGGCTGAGAAACTTGCTCCTGCCTTAGTTCTGTGATTGTGCCCCCAACCTGGGCCCTCTGGTGATAAAGGCGTGACCTCTGATTCCACAAGTCTCCCTGGTTTCAGTGGCCCTTTTCTGATCACGTGATCACACAGCTTCTTGATTCACCCCTGAACTTGAGATTGCTCTGAGCTCTAAGGCAGGGGGCAGTGGGCTGGCTGGCCGAGTGTCCACATGGCCCCTAAATGTTCTCACAGGCTTGAGTTGTCATCTGCCCTGCCACATAGGTGTCTGGTCTGTGACACCTGCTGGTGGTCACTGTCACCCCATTACTTCCTAGCATTGCCCTTGACTTGGCTTTTCCCCTTTGTGCTATTTGCTTGGGGTTGGTTGGTCAGATCCTCAGACACTAACCTGTTATTAGAGCTTCTCTGAACCATCATGACTATGTGCCAATAAAACTTTATTTATACGAAGTGAGTAGTGGGCTGGATTTGGCCCGTGGGCCATATAGTTTGCCAGCCTCTGCTCTAAAAACGTCATTGTGTTGTCTCTCAAGATAACAGCGCCTTCTCTTTCCTTCCAGGTGTGTGTTTTAGATCTGCGAAAGTAAACACAAAATATTGTAGAAAAAAGCAAAGAGTTCTAACGGACCAGCAGCAAACGTGTGGGGTTCAGCACCCTCAGACAGTCCTGTCAGCTCCCAAACTGTACGAACTTGACTTGGTTAGAGTGGACTTTGGAATCCACTCATCCCTGGCCGCAGGAGTCTATATTTTGTCGTAACCTTCATCAAGAAGTTTCAAACAGAAACATACACACAGTCATATTGAAAGGGGAAAGAATGGTTTCCACCTGGAACGTTCAGCCTGCACACGAAGCTACCAGCCAGACAGTGCACGGTTTGGGTTCCATCCAGAACAGGCTCTGATGGCTAAGAGGAAAAAAAAAAGCTGTGCCAAATAAAGAAAAAAAGAGAAAAGTGCTGTGATAAACCAAAAGGAAAGGGGAAAAAAATTCCTCCATGTGGAGGGTTTTTTTTTCCCCTTAACAATTTGGACACTACAGTTGCTCTCACAAAAGATGTTCAAAGACCAGTTTGTACCGATGAAACGTGCATTTGTAATCCCAACACTTTGTATTTTCTAGAATCTTCTTTGTCCAGTGGTTTTTCTATTGGCTGGAATCCTGTCGTTTGGGGGCCTTTCATCTGAGATGGAAACTGTGTTTGGCTTGTTGCTTCCTTCCTCCTGTTTTCTGCCCCTCCCCGTCTTTCCTTTGTTCGGTGTGGTTGCGATTTGCAGTCCACGCTCAGTAGATGCAGCCTCGTGGACACGACGACAAAATCTTTGACACGACGATAAAAATCTTTGACGGACAGCTTTCTCCCTCCCCCGGCCCCCACCCCCCTCTCTGTGTCCCTCTCTCATAGTTGCTTCAGATCCTAGGTCTCAAGGGCACTTTGGGCGCATAAGTGCTTTATGTAAGAAGGTAGGGCAGGGGGACTTTTTACAGAAGAAAAAAAATGACTTATAAGAGAAAGAGCCCGGAGTATTTTTGGAAAAAGAAAATATTTTTATGTTAAAGCAATTTTAAAATCCGAAAAGGGCCATCAGACATAGAGAGCTTTGTGTGATTCATATTTTAAATAAGTTTTAGGAAGCCACAGGCAGGGGCTGAGGTAGCTTTTCCCTCTCCCTTCAGCTTCATGAGAGGTGGTTGGCACTCTGGGCAGAAGAGAGTCAGTCCTTGGCTCGGCAGCCACAGAAGAGGCCCCGCTCTGTGGCTCCAGGACGAGCAGGCGTCCTTTGGGGCGCGGCCACCTTCGGAGCTGGCAGGAGAGAAGCGAAAAACAGGACCCTCTGGCCCCGAGAAGCATTCCCCAAACCTGACGGTACCGAAGAAGCCATCAGAACCGACAGCCCGGCTCAGGCTACATCTTTTTTGACATATTTTTCGCAGCAGTGTAACTACCAATGGCCGCTTCACCGAGAGCAGGCTGGCAGGTCCTTGCCAGGCTGACGATGAGGGCCCCTGGATCTCACTTGGTCTGTTAATGACAAAAATGCACGGAGATGGAAGATTTTTCAACCCTGAAGGTAAATTCTCTAGGTAGAATGTCACTAATAATTTCTGCCATTTTCATCATTTCCTTCCCTCACAAGGGACTAGGAGAAAGCTTTTCTTTATTTTAATAGTGAATCTTTTTACTGTTTTTAAAAAGTTAGACATGGTTTTGTGTTCCTAGAGGAGTTTCCCTTCCTTGGATCAGGTGACCTTTGTACTCTTGTTGTCATACCCCGCCGCTGACCCATCGGTTAAATTAGCCGGGGAAAGGACTGGAGGCCTGGGCGTCTTCTCTCATCCTCTGCCTGCGGGTGGAGGAAGGGATGGGGAGGTTGGCCAGGCCTGGGGGCGCTGGCAGTGGGCAGGTTTCAGCGGGGGTGTGTTCCAGCAACGAAACAGGATGTTATTCAGAGGTGGCGTCCATCCGTGGAGCCACAAGGCCACCGTCAGGGCAGAGTGCAGGCCTCCTGCAGAACTTGGAGGGTGCCGGGACCAGCTGTGGGAGCCAGGCCGCGTTCGTCCTTCTCAGATCACGGGTGGGCCTCCACGTGGATATGCGAATTACTCCAGCCCCAGCTGTGGAAGACCAAAGAGCGCTCTGTTGATTTCTTCGGTAGTTGATTCAGACTCTGTTACTAAACGCTTAGCAAAGGTCAGAGTTCTGTGGGGTCACCCATCTTTGAAGCTAGCAGGCACCCCCAGGTACATTGATAGTTTCCTGACCCAAGAAATCATTAGGCTTGGGATGTAGTTTGTGGGGGTCCAGATGAACACCATCTTGACCCCTCCCCAAATAAAAATGTATTCATCTCTGCAGAGCCTCAGCTGTCGAGGGTCGGCCCGTGGTCAGGACACGGCTTGTATGTGACAGGCCGCACACTGCTGTGGGGTGGCGATGGTAGGACGTACTATAAGGGGCTCACTAGACAATCCACACGTAAAGGTCGTAGCCAGGGTCTCGCTGAAGTGTTGGCTTTAGCCACTTGACAGATCTGAACCACTTGGGAATGGTTAGGTGGGAGCCAAGGGCTGCGAGGCATGGACCACATGGGCTTGATCCTCTGCACAGAAGTGAACCTGACAATGATGGAGGCAGACTGTCCACATCCCTGGCTTCGTGACCAGCCATCGGAGGGGAGCTCACCGCAGGCCACACGGGGGACCAAGCCTGAGAACGCAGTCGGCGCCCCTCAGATCCATCCCCGTTCTCAGCAGAATGACAGCTATTGATTGCACCTCTGATGTTTGCCTGCCAGTGTACGCCCTGCCGGAAAAGTCAGGACCTTGAGCTTTGTCCTCAAGGGGTGGCCCATGGGAGTGATAGTGTTTGACGTTGTTTACAGCGCTTAAAAATTGTGAGTGATGCTCAAGTCTTAGTGACCAAATTTAACCTTGATTCTGAAAACAGACGTATCCAGAACCTTCTGTTGGGTTTGAAGTGACCAAGAGCACACCCCGCACACACCTGGGACGGATGCTGTGCCCCACCCCGGGGACGTTACAGGGTTTCACCCCTCTGACCCCACACGACAGCTAGGACTTGACTTTCGTTTTGTCTCTAAAGATAGATCACGGAGCCAAGGGAAGTGCACTTTGTCAAACGTAAGCGTCTGCTTTGTTCCTTGTTATTTCTCTCTTTTCTAACCTTTTGTTCCACCTTTTTTTTAATCGTGTTTCTTGTCAAATGCAGAAATGTTACTTCCGCCACTCTCTGATGTTTCGAATTCTGGCTTCTGCGGTTTTTATTGTCTGTGTCAGACGTGCAGCCAGATGTGGTTCTCTGTCAGCCTTTCCCAGATTCTGTTCCATCCACATTGACCCCCGTTCTGTTCTCCCTCCACCCCACTCACCCTCACGCTCTCTGAGAAAAAGAATCACCTTGTGTGTTGTAGCTCATTTGTTTCAAGAGAGAATCAACAGATCATATTCAGTGTGTTGAATAAATTGCTCTATTTTGATATTAGAGAACTTGGTGGGTGTGTTTTCTTCATCTCGCCCGGGAGCTCTTGGGCTCACGTCAACACCGATGAGTGAATTTCTCAGAAGAAAATAACTTAAATGCTTCTTTCAGGATTGCCCTGCTGAAGTGGGGCAAAGTGGCCTGACCCCGTGCTGTGGGAGGAGCCAAAGCAAATGAATTTTGTCAGTGGGTTGGTTGGTTGGGAGTCCGAGTTCAAGGATTATCTCTGAGTAATTAGAAGATCCTCAAGTCACAGGCTATGGGGGACTTGACCTTTCCTTGAGCACGATGCTGACTCATGCTCAGCAAACATTTATTGACATCTGCTCTGTGCCAGGCTCTTCCAGGTGTTTCCCTTTATGCCGCGTGAATCAATCGGTGGGTGTTAGGTGACTGAGTCGGTTAATGGGTGCTGCTATCCCCGTGGGGGGGGGGGGCAGCTGACTCTGAGAGGGGGTGAGGCGGACTGCATTTTGCTGTACAACTGAGTCACAAAGCAGGTCATGGTGTCATTTTCCTTTAATCCCAACTTGATCCCGCACTAGCACAAAGCAGAGGGCTGGAGCCATCCCTGCCTCTCTGGGTCCCACTATTGACTGGGGTAGAGCCTGCTTATTTTTCTCTTCTTTTAACCAAGTTGACCAGGCATGTTACCCCGTGGTGGATTTGGGGGCAGTTCTGAGCACCCTGACCCCTGCTACTGAAGCCACAGGAAGGGCCTGGGAAGAAGCTTGAGGCAGACACACAGCAGGCAGGCAGCACACTATATGACAGAGCGCCCCAGGATCACGGCATGTGTGACGTGTGGCTTTGGTGGCTTCCGCAGCAATGCTGGTAACGTTAATAGCTTTAAAGGGGTTTCTTTCTGCTGTAGAGGAAGCCGGATTGGGGCCACATTGGTGGTCCGGGCTCGGTGCGCCTTTCCTCTTTACACGGAGCCCTTGGCTGCAGTGATTCGAAAAGTGTTTGCCTTCGTTGAAGCTCCGCTTATTTATTTTGAAAATCTAAGCTTCCACTCACTGAACAGAGAACTTTCTTTTTTAACGGCCCACATCGTGGTGCTGTTCCTAAAGGATGCTTGAGACCGTTTGTCGTATGCTCAGAAAGTCGTCTGTACCTGTGGCTGCCAACAGTTGGTAACTACTGACGGAGACCTGGAAATCACTTTGTGACATGCACGAAAAGAGGCAGGAAGTGGCGGGGAGTGGATTTCTGCCCTTACAAAACACAAAATTTGGCTGGATGATTTTTTCCCAGCTTGGCTCCTTTTTCTCTGAAGTGTCTTAGCCACTGGCAAGGTCACCAAGGCCAGAGGTTGCAGTTCCACCTGGAGGGTGCTGGGGGCAGGGCACAGGGGACCCTGGGGAGAGGGCAGGGACCATGTTATTGACAGTGTTCCCTCCCACTTGAAGTTAGTGCTCCGGAGAATGGGGCCTCTGATTAGAAATACAGTCATTCTCAAGCAAAGTTATGGAGAAACACCCCAGGAGGCAATCTGTTCATACGCACACAACTGTAAAGGACCAGGCGATCATTGGACTAGGGAGGCGTCAACTCATGAAGTAGTTTATGGTGTGACTGGCCAATAAATTAAAGTCAAATAGAAGCCACCTGATAAGAGCAGCCGCATCTTTCACCCAAACTACACTCGCAGCTACACCTGTGTCATGTGTGGCCAAGCCAAACTCCCAGCTGGTGGTCCCAGTTCCCTCGCCTCTTCAAGGACTTCTCCCAGGTCATTGTCCCCTCCCTCACATCATCGTTACTGCTTTCTCTTCCCTGGATCGTTCCCTTTAGCCTCCCAGTGTACTCTAGTGTCTCCCATCTCTAAACAGTAAAGACCAGACATCCCTCTGCAGCAACCAGCCCTATGGGGAAATTGCCTAAAACCAAGCATTGTCCATCTTCTCGTTCATTTGTTTGCTCAATTACGTCTCTCTTATTCCCTGGACTGACTTGCTCCACCACGTCGCCGATGCTCATCTGTGCATCCCCAGTGCCAAGTCATAGCTCAGCGCCTGGCAAGGAGCGACGAGAAGGTACGGACAACCTCTCACTCAGCTCGGCCCCATTGAAACCTCCATGCCAGCTGGTGATGCCGATCCCCAGCTAGGAGGAATTACATTAACTGGACAATCAGATCAGTCAGGGTTCCGAACCTGACTCTGGCACATGTAAGCCAAAAAGAACGGGTGAGGACACTGGGCAGCTCTGCGGAACCAGGCTTGGAGGCCATGCAGACAGAACAGCCAAAATAAGGCTACAGGATTGGACCTATGCAGGTAACATGGGGCACGGCCACAGCACCGGGGGTGCTACCCACACCCTCATACTGAACCAGCCCCAAAGCACACCCAAGCTGCCTCCCAAAGCAGACACGTCCGCTGCCCAGCTGCTGCCACTCCCCCTCCAGAAACACATCTCCGAGGCCCATTCCCTGGGGCACTGGCTTCTACCTCAAAGACTTGGGACACGTGTCTCATTGGCTCTGCCAAGTCCTGTGCCCTCTTCTAGCTGAAAGGGAGGCTGGGAAAGTGAGAAGCTGGCCTCTTGGCCTCTGGGGTGAGGGTGGGACTGAGCCTCACCTGCTTGGGGAGCATCCTCCAATGGGGAGAGGCTTCTGAGGCCGGGAGCAGACCAAATGTCACCATGCAGATGCAGAACACATCTGGAAAAGCAAAAACCCCTTCAGGTCATAATGCTTTGGATCAAAGTGGGTGTGCTCCAGCACAGGCCCACCCTTAGGGATGTGCAGCCCCCGGGCACTACGGTCACGGTCACCGTGTACCCTGAACCCATCTGCAGCCATGCGACTCTCCAAAAGTACAAGTCCAGAAACATCCTGGACAGCTTTCCTAGGGGAAAGGGAGTCCTAATCTCATGTGAAGGAGGTGTCATGTGGCAGGGCTGTCTGCAGTGTCCTGAGACAATAGTGTTATCTTGTTTTTTTATAGACATAGCTGGGTGGCTTGCAAATCCAATGCATACTACAATATTTTCACCAAAAAAATATATATACTATATATTTATTTCAGCTGATGGAAATAAAGAGATTTAGGCAATGATCTGTGCATAAACCAGGTTCCAAGGATTCCTTAGACTGTCATTGCTCGACACAGCATGGGGACCAAGGGCTCAGTTAGTGATTGGAGCCAGCCCCCCTCTCCGCCCCCTAGTGGTGCAGGAAGATCGTGCTGTGCTGCCGCTCCCTGGTGCCCCCCACTCGTCCTGCTGCTGCTTACCTCACTGCCGTGTGGCATCATCACTCCCTCACTTAGGAGCGCTCGCTAGAGGCATTATACAGACAGAATGCAAGTCAGGCTGGGAGCTCGGTTGCAACTACTTTATTAACTTTTCCCCAGGACCGGGATCCGGCATTTACATTACAGCCAGCCTCAGAAAAACAGAGGGCAACTAAGAGTCTAGAGAAGCTGCTGTTTGGTTTAGAAGGCATTTTCCACTCCCAAGCACCAGCTCGTGGATCAGTTCTCATCACCAAGAGGACCCTCGGGAAGAAGTTCTAATATGGGGTGAGGTTGGGGGGATGCCACACCTGGCAGTGTGGTGACAGGAAGGCGAGAACAGTTCAAAACAAAGAGAGATGTCAACTTTGAGGGATGCGGGGTCTGGACCCATGTCACGTCCCTCTCATAGGTCTCCCTGGGTTTGGGAAAGAGATTTGACCTCATTTTCATGGCGGGACCCACTTGCAATGTGGATTTCAATTGTGCTGGCATCGGAACCTGGAGAGGAAAAGAGAAAAAACTGATGGCGTCAGTGTCCTAGAAGGTTTTTCATAAGCTTCAGAAATGCTGTCTATTAAAAAGAATAATAAAGTTACATGATACGTTCACCTACATTTGATTAAGTCATTTCAAAAGATGAAATAAATCCTAGAGAATCACCAAAGGCACCTGATGTGTGATTCTGCGTCCATCTTCAGGCCCGCCCCTGCCCCTGGCATCCCTTTTTCCAAACCTCTGTGCTGGACAGCTAAACGTGCGTCTCAGAGAGCCGAACCACATGGACGCTGGAGACCAAGTCGAGACCACCCCTGTTGACTCGGGCAGGCTTCGCAGCCCTGTGACACATGCTGTCGGATTTAGACCCACAGATCCCTTCTGTGACTCAGGCTCATCACAGGGCCCCATGGTGGCCTGGCCACCTGACCCCAACTCCAGGAGGTGCCCAAAGGGAGGGAGCCCACTGCCCTCTGTCAAACTAAGACACCTTCCAGTTGTCTCTTCAGGGATGAGACCACAGGGTTTGAGGGCAGAAAAAAAAAGTGGGTAACCATCAGTAGAATGAAAGCAAATGTCACTCCTGCCAAAACAGTACTCCTGGAGGTGACACACCTGCCTCCAGAACCCCGGGAACCCTCTGGAACAGATGGCAGAGTTATTCTGCAAATATTCAGGAGGACCAGCTGTGTGCCAGGTCCTAGGCTGTGTGTGTGGGATACCAAGAAGAAAGACACAAAGAAGGTGGCCTTTTCAACTGTGCATGGGGCAAGTGGCTGCCCTTCAGGAAAATCTCCACATCCTGAGGCCCCTCTACCAGTGCCCTTGCTGACCCCTGCAGCCTCCTCTCGCGTCCTTCTCACTCCCCACCTGCAGGCACACTGGCCTCTCTTCCACGCGCCGAGCTCAGGCCTGCCACCAAGGCTTTGCACAGCCCTTTCTCTGTTTGTCAGCTCTTCAGGTTTCTTTCTGGCTCACTCCTCACTTCCTTCAGGGCTCAATTCAGATGTTATCTCAGCCTCAGGGAGGCATGCAGAACCCCTATCCAAACCCACTCTCCTGCCCCCGCCCTATCTGCTTTTCTTCATAGTACTTTTGCTGCCTGGAATATTCTATTATTATTTGTGTTTTCCCTTCTCTCTCTCCTACAAGAGTGGAGAGTCTCAATGGACAGGGACTTTTTGCATCTTTTTTTAGAATTGTCTGTTTTTTGCTGAGGAAGATTAGCCCTGTGCTAACATCTGTTAGCATTATATGTCTTCCTC